ATATATATATATATATATATATATACATATAGCGTAACGAAGCACAGGGTCATTGCAGATATTAATAAAAAAAAATGTTTTTGCAACAAAAAAATCCTTATTATACTTAAACTCTCATTTTAATTATAAATATGGAGCATTGCTAAACAGAAATGTTCTAAATTGTTAAGGCTACAAATAAAAATCATCACAATTTTTGAATTATATTGTGACATTAGGACTTTTTAAATCCTAGAAGCTTCCCAACTTATGTACATGTTTTATATACCGTGTAGTTTTACTCAAATTATTTTTAAGGGTCTTGCACTGAGACAAGCAGTAACTCTCTCATTCAGTTTAGTTACATCAAAAACATGTTTACTGAATATTCCTTTCGTTCTTTGGATTGCAATATGCTCAAAATCCACAGCTATCAAAAGCATTGCTATTGAGTAATGTACACATAAGATTAAAATACAGAAAAAAAGTATATTTCAACACTTAAAATACATTTAATGACAAACCTTTGCTGGTTGAAAAGAACAGGAATTGACTTCTTAATATTCAGTGTGATAAAATGCAAACGTCAGTGTTTCCCACACCCAGTTGTGGATTTAGTTCAGCTGTCAACTTGTGGATACAGAGAACTTAAAGCTATCAAATGACTGCCTATGGGAACTTTTGGGAAGACAGGCTCATATTTTACATTTGTGGATCCCTCAAGATGACTAGGGAGTAAAGAAAATGAAAAGCATTACACATTTTACTGATACTGAAAATTAACAGAAAGTTTGCTGCTCACTGGCTCTCTTGTAAAAAAAATAAAAAAATAAAATAAAAAAAAACGAAAGAGACACTTTTATTTTCAACATTTGTTATTACACATCACAAGCCATTGTAAATTTAAATAACCTTTATGTTTTTTTTCTTGTGTTTCTATGAATTATTCTCAAGTCTGAATAATTTAGCAAAAGTTATGATCACTTTTTCTTATTAATTTACCTAAAAAAAATACCTGACATACAGTACTTGTCATTTGTTTAATATAGGGAATGAAGAAAATTCCTTTGGTCTCTCCAGTCAAGAGAAAATTCATGAACTTTAGCCACAGAGGGGAAAAAGAGAAAAAGGTAAACTAGAAAGGTGAAAACTACATCTGTCTCCCTTCCAATTCATCCATGTTGGTCATTTGGGTTTTATGTTAACTGGTTTATAAATCTTATCCAGAGCCTGAACTGTAAAAATCTGATCTCAAGCATTGGATCGGGCTCCCAATCAAGACATGTTTCATTATTTGGTATCAAAGTAGCTGATCTCTCTCTGCTCCAAGACTTTGATGACCTTCTGTATGAGTTACTTCAGCGACACTTTAATACAGCTGCCATAAAACAGATGTAAAACATTGAGATGTCATGTTCCAACACGACTGCTGGTTGAGAGCAGTTCTGTAATACTTGCAATGTTTGTATTTTTTTTTCCCCACCAATTTGAATAGACAAATAACACTCTAACTCTCGGCTAAGTACACTGTTTTCATCCAGTTAGATGTTGTGCTATGTGACGGAAAACACATTTAAATGGCATATTTTTCACTGTTGGAAAAAAACAATGCTTGAAAAAATATATTTTCTTCAAAAAACACAGGTCTGTACTGCACATTAGAGCTACTGAAGTGTCCAAAGGTCACAATAGCAATGATTGTAACATTTTATGTGCTCATACCATTTTGTGCTGTAAAAACTATTAAACATTGGATTGAGACAGTATCAGCAAATGATGAATCATTTAAATGACTAGGAACAATATAAAGGACACAACGTCTTGAATTGAAGGCCCCATGTTCAAAGCACAACTTCTCAAGAACTAATAATTTGAATGGAGAACTTTCAGTTGATCAACTTTGGGTTATTTATCAATTTTTTTATTAGTCCCATTTTCTTGCCTACAAACTGTCGTGAAACATTGAAACACTTGTTTTTCATTGACTGACCACAAGAATAGATAATTGTTACAGGGAAAAAAAAAATAGAACAATTAAGCAAGAAAGTATTTTCTCAAGGAAAAAAAAAAATCTTATTAATAGTAATCCTTCATCTTGTACGGTAATGTGCTTTATTCATATTCAACCGGTATTACGTTTCATACACTAATCTGGTTGTTGAGTGCATGTTAACATACTGTACAATACATACACATATAGATTTCTGAACCAGTGTTAAACATTTGCTTTGAAATATTCAGTCCCTGGAGTAAAAAAAATTGTCAAGGGTATAGTTTAAAAATGCACTTGCTGCTGTGCTATCACTCAAAAACTGATTACACGGTTTTAGACATTGCAGTTTGTAATTTTACATACGCTCCTTTTGGGGTTCACATGATTTTCATGTTGAATTGTACAGGTGCTTCAGTTGGGCTGGCCTCCTCTGTTTCTTCTTTACGTGGCACATATTCAACCTCAATACTTGTCTTGGTATTGTCTTTCCCTCTACTCCAGAGGAATAATATTACAAGACAAAAGAGAACCACTCCAAGAAAAGAGATAAATCCCATGGTGGTTGCAACAACAAGTGTTTTTACATCAAACGGAAATGGAACGGTTGCCCGAGTCACATTTGCACCATCATCACTTGGCTGGTTGGAAATGAAAGCAAATGTCTTGTTTGGCTGATGGGGCCAATTGGGAGAGTAGCTATGCACAAAAAGGTGAGCAGATTTAGTGTCATTGCCTGCTGCATTACTGGCAATGCACACATAGGTTCCATTGTCTTGGATTTGGGCATAGCGCACTTCCAGAGTACCATCAGCAGACACAGAAAGTCTTGACCCCATAGTCTTTGTAGTTATGTATTCCTTCTTCGGGGAAAACCACATTATCACTGGAGCTGGATTACCTTCTGCCTGGCAGGAAAAGTAAACTGTAGTTCCTTCATCTACATGGCTTTCTTGTACCTTGTAATCCACAATCTTTGATTTCTGGCAGGTGAAGTAGTCAGGAGGGAGTATGTCTGGAAAATCTTTGAACTCTTTTCCTAGTACATCCTCAGGCGAAGCACAAACAGGCTGTTGTTTGTTAAAATTGAGCCTCCATCGCCGACGGAAGACCCACAGTAAACGGCAGTCACAGGCCAAGGGGTTGTCGAACAATGCCAGTGTCTCCAGATTTCCCACTGAGTGAAAGACCGATTCCTCAAGAGTGCTCAAGCTATTGCTTGACACATTAAGAACACGAAGATGGTTGAGCCCTCTGAAAGAGTAATGCTCAATGGACACCAATCTCCCACCAGCTAAATGAAAAGCCTGAAGCTTTTGTAGATTGAATAACTGGTTACCTTCCACAGTATGAATAGGGTTGAAGGATAGATTTAAAAAACGAAGATATCTGAGGTGACTGATAGCTTCGTAGGGGATGACAGTAAGATTACAGTTTGTGATGGACAATGATGTGAGGTTGAGTCCAAACAAGCATTTAGGTGTCACAGTTTCAAGGGCAGACATATGAGAAATTTCCAGTGCTCTTAGTCTATACAACCTTTTAAATGAGTAATCCCTTATGACAGTGACATTCAGATAGTGTAATCGAAGTGACAACAGGTTATGAAGATGGCTAAGGGCATCAGTGGGAACTGAAGCTAGTTTGTATCCCTCTATATTGAGGCTTTCAAGGTTGCTGAGACCATGAAATGATCTAGGTGAAATGAAAACGAGGTCATTGTCACCAACTTCTAAAGCTCTCAGATTGTACAACTCTTGGAACATATAATCAAGTAAAATGACAATTTTGTTCTCACTTATATCCAGCTGTGTGAGGTTGGTTAGGCCTGTAAAGACACCTAGTTGGATAAGCTTCAACTGGTTGTTGCGCAACCCTAGAGTTCGAAGGTTCATCAAATTGCCAAAAGCTCCAGGCTCAATGGATGAAATAGTGTTTTCGTTTAGTTGCAGCTCCTCAAGTTGAGGGTAATTAATGAACTCTTCAGGCCCCAGAGTCTTCAAACGATTTTTGCTGAGGTCTAACAGTTTTGTCTCAGTGGGGATGCCCTCAGGAAGAGCTGCCAGTCTTCGTCGGTGGCACACAACTGAACGCTCCTGGGCATTGCAATCACATTTTGAAGGGCAGCCAGTGGTGGAGCCTGAAAGGACGGTGCCCAGCATCAGGATCAGAATGGGCTGCCAACATACCACCAAGTATCTATGCCCTCCTGCCTCCCCCGCCACCATCCTACTGCTTACCTGTGGAGAAAGAAAAGTACATAATTTTGACCTTTCATGAATTGACAGAAAATAACATTTGTGTAGATAAATGAGAAAAAAACATTTAATGAACATTTTATATAAATGTCTTTTCAAAAGAATAAATGAGCACATAAGTGAGTGTGAAAATCACATTTTTATTTTATCTGTACACCTTTTCAAAGATGCATGCATAACTCTCCCACATCCGGCATAAAATGTCATTCCAGAAAATTTCTTCACAAATAATGGAATCCACTAATCAATAAAAGGATTTGGTCACACAATGAAACCATCCTGATTTAAGGCTGACTGCCGAGTGCGTTAAATACAATTACCATCAATTCTACTGATGCAAACTGCTTGTACAACCATTTTATTAGCATTCAAACATGTCGTGATTTATTTTTATGTTGTATCATTTACAAATTACTGTAAATATATTCAATGCCATGGATTTACCACTGACCTATAATAATTATTATAAAACAATAATAATAATAATAATAATAATAATAATAATAATAATAATAATAATAATAAAACAAAAAATGCCAGTTTGTATTACATTGTTGGTTTTAAAACTGAATAAATTTTTAAAAAATCCAAAAGGAAAAGAGGTTTAAAAATATAAAGAAAACACATAATTTCTTATTTTATTTGTTGTACTAAACAATATTTTTAATTTTCAAAAATAATATTATACAACATTTTTATCCACATGTCCAAATATTTATTGTGGTGTTGGAACATTTGGAAGCTTAACATTGCTGGGCTTATATACAACATTTTTGGAGAAATTGTGAATATTTACAATAAAAAATGTGGACTAATTTCCCAATAATCTCAAAGTACAAGTACATTTTCATTCAACCTTTATTTATACAGGTTAATCCCACTGAGCCTTGGGGACTCATTTACAAGAGAGACCTGGTACATTACTGACTCACAGCTACAGGTCCTGAGGCTTTGTCTTGAGAAATATTATTCAAAAGAAGATGTTACCCATCAGAACCAGATTTGCTTATTTTTATTATTTTTTTTTACAAGAGTAATACGCATGATCACTTTGTAAGCACTTTATTGTTTATAATTCAGCCTTAGGTTGCTTTCACACCTGATAGTCCGGTAGACTCGGTTCGGTTGGGGACCAATATCCATAACATTTTGTTTACATTTGAGCTGGTGCGTTCACATTCACACTGCACTGTGCAGTCGAGCCAACCTGTTCCCCCACTCGCCTGTGGGGGCGCTGCACCAAGAACTACTGAAAGAAACGACACAAAAACCTCTGAAGAAGACACTTCTTCGTCTTCTTCTGGAAATAAAAACAAAAATGGAGTGGTGTCAAATTTTAGTGGTTTTAGGAGTTCTGTTTTGTCTTTGTTCAACAATGGGCTCAGCATGAGTGCATGATGATGCAGAAGACCATAGAGAATGTTATTTTAGACACAAGGTAAGCTGACGGCTCCATGAGGTAAGAGAAATGTGTGTTTGTTTGCCCTGCGCTGTACTCCACTTCCTTTTTACGGAGTGGTGTCCAGCATGCTTGCATTCACACTGTACTCGAACCGCACTAGAGTTTTCTTCTACCGGACCGAGACCTAGGCGGGCCAGAGTTCGCCTTTTTGTTCCGTGACAGAGTTCGATGGCCCGTTCACACCTCCCCAAATGAACCGGACTTCCTAAGCAAACGGACTAGAGTTCGGGACAACAGGGCTGGTGTGAATGCACCCTTAGATTGCTCATATACCTAAATGCTTGTACTTTATCCCTTTCCTGAGCAATGTTAAAACAAAAAAATAAAAAGCAACATCATCATTGAACAAGTACATGCACAACTAGAGGCAAAGCTCATCTCTGTTTTTATCTTTTTTTCTTATTTGTTTGCCTAGCTTCCAAGTAAAGAAGTACAAGGCTGGCAACTGTACCAAATTCCCCCAAAAGATAGTTACGAATGAAATACTGTTCCAAGGTAATCACAAACTGTTGCCAGGAGAAGATGATGGTGAATTTAGTGAACATGTGGATCTTGAAGATAAAGTCTTTGCAGTTCCAACTATGTCACTGCAAATGCAAAACGTATCTGTTGGGGAAAGAAAACTGTCTCTCCTGTTTTTACATAGAGGACATACAGATTCACATCCACTCAGATTTGTTGTCTATTCACATTTAATTAATATCAAACCAGTACATTTCTTTTTTAATAATCCCAACAGCTGCATTTGATAACACACCACCAATGGCATTACAGTTCTTGTGTACATTTTATAGTTTTGCATTTGAAGTTTTAAATATTGTATTTAAAAGAACTCTGTCTTTATTTGATTCACTGTCTTGTTTATCCCTTTTCTGACTTTATCATTCAGATGTGCTGAAATACTGCTGACCCATTCCATCTATTGATAGTATTGTGCAGGGCATACCGCTGTCTCTGTTCCTCTAAACCTGGACTCTCTTGAGCCATATCTTAAGCAGTTTGTTACTAATCTCAGGATGGTTTTAGACTCTAATTTTAAATTCAATAATCAGATTAACTCTGTTCTACAGAAACACTTCTTCCAGTTAAGGCAGATAGCTAAGCTTAAGTCAGTGTTGACCAGATCGGACCTTGAAAAAAATAGTCCATACGTTCTTTACAAACCAACTAGACTACTGTAACTTGCTTCATGTTAGGATCAGTCAGGTCTCCCTTTCATGTCTCCAGTTCATCCAAAATGCTGCAAATTGACTCTTAACAGGAACTCGTAGGTTTGAGCACATTTTTCCAGTTCTGTCCTCCCTTCTTTGGCTCCCTGTACATATTAGAAATTTCTCCTGTTGGCCTTTAAGTGCATACATGGCCTTGCACCGTCATACCTCTCTGGACTTCTTCAACCATATGTGCCTTCTCGGATGCTGAGATCATCTGATCAGCTGCTTTTGATTGTACCAAAAACCAGGTTGAAGCTCAGAGGAGATCTGGATTTTTCAGTCATGGACTCTAAACTTTGTAACAATCTATGCCCAGTAGTTAGACAGGTCACTTCACTCTGTGCTTTTAACACTCTTCTAAAAACACGTGTTTTCTCTGGCTTTTAACACAGTGTAATTTGATTTAGTATTTTATTGTTCTGTGTTTTGTTTTTCTTTTGATGCTTTTAATTAAAATTTGCTATTATTTTTTTCATTAAATTAGTGCTGGCATTTATTTGTTTTTTTTATGTTAAGCACTTTGGTAACAGCTGCTGTTATAAATGTGCTTTATAAATAAATTTGACTTGACTTGACTTGACATCAGTATGGGTGGGCGAGCATCTATCCTTTTATGACTGCTTGTGTTGTTTCTGCAGACCTCTTACCCTGTCACAGATGTCCCTTAGAAGAACATTTGTGCTCAATATTAGACTCTTGTTTGCCTGACTGGCTACACTCTCCTGTGTGTCTCGTGCAGGTGATACAGAGAGAAAAATGTGCACGTCATGGGTCACTGAATGTCTCAAGCAGCATACAGACAAATTAACTTTCCGCATCAGTGCGTGAATTCTTTAAAACTGTTTTTAGTTTATAAATAATTTTGTTGTGTAGAGCAATATTGAAAAAAAAAGTGGAAAATTGCATGTCAAAAACAAGCAATACACCTATAAAGATTATTGAACTAATTCTGTTGGAGGAGGGAAAAAATTACATCAAAAAGTGAAGAAAAAAACTGTTATAACAAAAACTATAATTTATCCAGCAGTTTCGTCTCTTCTTTGTATTTACACCTTTATTGCAGATAAGGGTGTAAACATCCATCCATTATATTTTACCAGTTTCTTCCTTTTTGGGTCACTGGGATCACTGGTGCCCATATCCAGCAGTCACTGTGCAAGAGGCGAAGGACACCCTAGACAGATCTCCAGTCCATCACAGGGACACATATGCCCCTTTTCCATTAGTAATGGTACGGCCCAACTGGACCCGACTCTGCCCGGTTCCAAGGCTTTTCCATTAGTATGTAGAACCTGTCCTTATTTTCAGGACCCTTGGCTCTGTGGTAACAAGACAAACAACTATTCACTCTCTCACTCACACCTAGAGACAATTTAGAGTTACCAATCAGCCTAACATCAGTGACGTGCAGTCAGGGGAGGCAGGTGAGGCAGTGCCGCACCTATGATCATGACAAGTAAAATACTGACAGCGATAAGAGAAAATGCATTTGACCACTTGACTGTTCTAAAAAAGTGTTTTATAAAACTGTTTTCTGAATGATTTTAACACTTCAATGGTCAAAATTGCGGAATTTACGCATTGCCTGTTCAAACGATGCAGATGAGGCAGTGTAGTGCTCTGGTTCACCTCTGGTGGCTCTGTACAATATATGAAGTAGGTGGTTGGTGCATGCTCTCTTTATATCACCAATATACATGTTTGATTACACGAGCTACACATGTTGATGTTCCACAGACTGTCTAATATATTGAATGAATGTGTGTGACATTTTTCTTCTTTCTAATTGGTCATAAATCACGCTGAAAATACACAGGGTGAGGCAGAAAGTACCATGCCGCACTGATAGGGGGCAGTGTTGCCTCATAGGGACAATGAAGCAGCAGTCGCTGTGTGTTCTTCTGTTACACAGACGGGCAGTAGGGGTGTAGCAAATGTTACACTCATTTTAATTTGTTTAGACAAAATGGAAGATCATATCTCAAAACTAAAGGATTTTTCTAAACTCGACTTTCAGTCGAAATAGAAAGAGTTAGAGACTCCTCTTTGGCGATTATCTCCATTGAAGCAGCCAGACTTTTAAAAATGAAGGCAAACCACAAGGAGTTTTATAACAAAGTAACAGAGACATTTGTGGAGGATGGGTGCATGGACTTAATCTTAAAATAAAGGTAAGATTTTTTTTTTTTTTTTTAAGTGAGGATCCCCACCCCCCCAAAAATAATTTGACCTTACATTAAATATTTTGTTTTTCTTGCCATCACTGTTGAACAGTATGGAATTGATTAAACTATAATTAGATGCCTTTTTAACAGAAATAAAAAAAAAGACTACATTGGAATATAAGCTTCTATTTTAGGTTCCTATACGTCAGCATCAATTCCAGACGAG